GCACCTCTCGGTACTCAACTAGGAAGTGACAAAAGTTGCATCGGCGAGTCTATTAAGTGAGTCACATTTCTGATGGAGCACAAGGGCCAGAAGCAGTGTCTTTTTTTTTAATTAAAAATTTTTTTAAAAAATGTTTATTTATTTTTGGGAGAGAGAGAATGAGAGAGTGGGAGCGAGTGAGCGTGAGCAGGGGAGGGGCAGACACGGAGGAAGACACAGAATCTGAAGCAGGCTCCAGGCTCTGAGCTGTCAACACAGAGCCCGAAGCAGGGCTCGAACCCTGAATCCTGACGTCACATGACCTGAGCCGAACTTGGATGCTCAATGGACTGAGTCACCCATGCGCCCCTAGAACCGGTGTCTTTAAAGAAAAATAGTCTGATAGTCGTAAATGAAAATCTGCAATTTATTCCTTTCTGTTGATCCAAATTCTCTGAAAGAAACAACCATACTAAACTGTTTGGTTTCTCGGGTTTATTACGCCTTGTACTACCCAACACATTAGTATCCCTTATGAATGAAAACTGCTTCAAGTAAAAAATGTTCCTTACACCTTACTCTATCACCAGCTAGGAAGGACACACGCCCTGAGCTTTCATTTTTAAAGGAACATTATCAAAATTCTTTTTTTTTTTTAAATGTTTTTTATTTATTTCTGAGAGAGAGAGAGAAACACAGAGAGACAGCGTTAGCAGGGGAGGGTCAGAGAGAGAGGGAGACACAGAATCTGAAACAGGCTCCAGGCTCTGAGCTGGCTGTCAGCACAGAGCCCGACGTGGGGCTCGAACCCATTGACCGTGAGATCATGACCAGAGTGGAAGTCAGACGCTTAATCGACTCAGCCACCCAGCCGCCCCAGCATTATCAAAATTCTTAAAGAAAATATTTAAAGCATCTGCCCCTACATGGAAAATAAAGGAAAAACACATAGTTCTAGGAGAACCCTAAGAAATAAAATGTAAAAATATGCATCATACATAGGCTGCACATTATGTCAAGGTTTTGATACTTGGGATCTGAAAAAACTAAACAATCGTCATAACTACAATGAACAAAAATTAAATGCAAGCACTTTATAAAAAGAGTTCTCCTCCTCCTGCAAAGGTTTTTGAAGAGACTTAAGATGCCATATGGTCTTAAGTTCTTCTTTAACAAACGAGATCTTACAGTTTCAGAACACAAATGCAATTAAAACTCTATTAGCAAAATGCAAAATAACAAATTGGGGACTAGTATCTAATTTGGAGGTAGAGACTGCCTGCTCTTCACTGAAAAACAAAATGTGCTTGTTTTTTTGGACTCAGCTTCAAAAATCTCTTCTTCTAGGATGAAGGGTCCTGATGGTGAAAGGGTTATTTCCAAACATTTCTGCTTATTAACCCCGCCTCTCCAGTGCTAAAAAACCAGAAGACCCACAAAACACACATTTTTAATTAACAAACGTTTGGAAGTCAAGATAGGTTTTGTTAGTTAATGGCAATAGTTAACTCTCAAAGTAAACAGGAAATAGTGCTACTTAGCGAGATGCAGCTTCCAAACCCAGTACTAATGGGCCTGTTTTTCCCCTCTTACATGCAGGTCTCAATAATTCGGCTGTGCCAGATGCACGTAAAAAGTATAAATCTCCACTAGGTGAAAGCGGGCTGTTCACAGACCCAGAGTGGGGGCTGGGTTTCCTTTCAGCCTTCGGGAAGCCAACCTCTCCAGTCACCTCTATTGTGGCATTTCACTTCCATTAATAACCCTCAATATGGGCAGGGCACAAAAATGGAGACTTTTCTGCTTCTGGGCAAGAAACAGAGACAAGTTTTCCCTTTCAAAATCACCGATGGCTTCCTCCTCCACAACAGAGTGATCATTTAAGAGGCTCATTTGTTCTTAATCTGTGGAAAACAACTCAGGCCAAAAAAAAAAAAAAAAATTAGCCGGCCAGTTTTCATCTGTAAAGAATTCTGTCCACATGGCCCTTCCCCCTCCTTTTAAAATTTCAAGACAAAGGACATTTAATTAAATGTGGTAAAAAAATCAGAAAATTCCTAGAAAGCGTGCAGAGTTGATACGTATTCAGCGGACGCCGTCATTTCACGGTCAGGGCCTGCCAAATCTGGCCAAGAGGAACTTCGTAGTCCTCGGTAAGAGCGGATTGAACAGGGTGCCTCCGGAGAACTTAAACTTGTTTCAGAGCTAAGGCAGATGAGGCCCTCCCAACCTTAGGCTTCGGGGGCTCATGAAGAATGACAAAAGTCGAGATTTAGGGTTCAGTTCCAGCTGATTTTATTTCCTTCTCAAAAAAAGTTATTTACAGAAGGTATATATCAACAATCTGACAGGCAGTGAACTTGACATGATTAGCTGGCATGATTTTTTATTTTTTTCCCCCAAAACATTGTTTTCGTGGCCTTGAATTTTAAGACAAATATTCTACACGGCATATTGCACAGGATGGATGGCAAAAAAAAAGTTTAAAAACAAAAACCCTTAACGGAACTGCCTTAAAAAGGCAGACGTCCCAGTGCCTGTCATGTTATATTAAACATACATACACACAATCTTTTTGCTTATTATAATACAGACTTAAATGTACAAAGATGTTTTCCACTTTTTTCAATCTTTAAACACAACAGCTATAAACCTGAACACATATGCTATCATCATGCCATAAGACTAAAACAATTATATTTAGCGACAAGTAGAAAGGATTAAATAGTCAAATACAAGAATGAAAAACGCAGTACATAGTGTCGCGAACTCAAATCGGCATTTAGATAGATCCAGTGGTTTAAACGGCACGTTTTTGCTTGTAAAAAAAGTGCAAAAAAGATGTGGTTTACAAGTTAAAGCTACAGGATCCCTTTTTGCTGTAAATGCACCAGTTTTAAAGCCTCTGGACAGAACAGGATTTTGTTTAAAAAATTTTGTTTTTTCTGAAAAGCGTACAGTGTTTGGCTAATTCTCCTCCCCCCTCCCTTTTTTCTAAGACTGGGTCGAAGGGTGGACTGGTGGCAGGATAAGGGATACTGTCACTTTAAGAAGCCTGCAGATTGAAGTGTAAACATGGAGAAATTAGGGGCTGATTCTTTAAACTGTGTGAGATATTAACCAGCCGCCCTATTATAAAATCAGGAAATCCAAACAGCGATTTACACCGATTAACACCCCCTTTATATATTTTTTACAAAAATACACTGAGAAAATAATCAAACGTTTTCATCTCTCTTGTCTTTTTTTGTTTTTTAAAAGTGTCAAAAGTCTACATTTAAATATAAAAAATTAAAAG